CAAGCATTAAAACATACAGTTTGTTGGCAACACATTGCTACCTTCCTATTTTATTATTCAAGCAATCATCAACATCCACTTCCAAAATACTTTTCCAAAGAATTGTAAAATTCCCCCAGATTGTACACACAAGGGGTAATGGTCTTCACAAGTGACCCAGGATTTCCTGTGTGCACTGGCAGTGCTGATAATGCCAAAACCAGCAGGACTGTGTTAATGCATGGTACGGGGCCACTAACAGCTGCCAGGCAATGGCAACATAGCATACTGCAGGTTAAAGGGGCAGTATAGTTATCATGTGAGAACAAAATAATACACTATTTAATTTTGAGTTAATACACACCAGATGTACATTCAGCCATTTAACCACTTTATTTGTGTATTTTTATGTGAATATTTGATGTTAAAAACAATTGGAAGGATACATTCTGCAATTTACAAACAAAAACCTTCAAAATGAAACTTTTGATGTAATTGATAAATGTACATATGTATGTCCTTTGGACAGTAGCAATCACCTGGCTTTTACTGAAAGTTGCATTTACATATTTTGTTAAAAAAACAACTAGCTTTAAGATATACCTTACTCCACAGATAAAAAAAAAATTGAATTACAAACAAGTTTCTCTGACTAGAATTTAGACATAAAACATGTAAACAAATCTTCAAAATGCCATCAGCTTTTTCAGTGTCGGCCCTTGGTATTCTTAAAAAATGTTATTAAAAAATTAGCAACTCGTCCATGTTACGCCAACTGTGACAACATTTCTCATCACTCCTAGGCCTACTGCAGGTTCTCTCGTCAAGTGTCGTGACAATCTAAACTGCATTTATGCCCGAGATAAACACACAAAAGGTGCTCAAATTAATATTGATGGCATGCCTACAGCTCTTAGAGAGAAACTCCAAATGCAACAGTAAATGCTAACCATGTCCTCAGGATGTTTATTGCAGGATCCTCGCAACACTTTACTCTCCCCCTCTCGCCTTGTTTCCTTCCATTTTTTATGGCAGTTTTTTATTTTTTCTCAGCAGACATGTTCTCTGCCAGAAGGGACATAGGCAGGTGCATTTACGGCCCTGGGAGGAACAATGTGTTCAACTTTGAAAAACAAGACATGTTTGCTCATACTTGTGTAATGTGGGGATTCTTTGGCGTTTTTTTTTTCCTTTTTCTTTCTTTCTTGTGCATTCAATATTGACATTCCCTGCGGTGATATGCATAAGTATCGGCAAGGACAGAAAAGCCTTCATTTAGTGGATGTTTTATTCAACGAATTATTGGGATAACCTTGAATATGAAGAAATTACAGGGAGATGCGAACCTTGCCTCTGCCTTATGGCCGTCAATTTTTATGAATTATTAATAGGTTATTTGTTATTCAAAGTAGCAAACAGGACGGCAGGGATGAATTTCAAACAGGAAAATTATCTTAGGTAATCAGTAGATAGATACGGATCCTTCAAACATCGCTACCCAGTGTACCACTTGATTTGTTGTGGAGGTTTGCAATCAATTTCTTTGTTCAATTGAGTATTGATAAAGAGTGAACCGAGCCGGCCTCCCTTTGTGGCTAAGTTGATCTGTTGGCAGTTGCAATATTCACAACAGAGTTTCTTCTTTGAAACCAAAGGCACAAATCAAAATGACAGTTTCGTTACACTTTCACCTTTCTTTAACGAAAGGTGAAGAATCGTTGGATGCCCTTTCAACATTCTGAACATATTTTAAAAAGGATGAAAAAAAGTACAAAAGTAAAAAGCAGGTCGATTGCAAAGCATAAAGTACTGTCATTGTACACGACATTTACAAAGGAATATCTTGTCTTGTCACTTGTATATGTTTTTATCGGTCATAGGGGTTACTGCATTTCTCGAAGCCGTATTTTGTTATTACTTCACAATAGCTGCGGGTGGATGTTATTTATGGGAGCACTGAAAGAAATGAGTGCAGAGAGAAATGAATATTGATCGACAGTGTCTAATGTACAAACCACTGTGAGAGATAGCATTACATGTACCTTACGGCTCACTCAAATCAATGGCAAAACAATGTCGGATGACTACGACCAAACGGAAGTAATTTATAACTGAAATTTGTAGCGGTGTCTCATTTCAAGTATTTTTTTTTTTCAAATGGTATTCATGTCAACTTATGCTAGGTAAACAAGATTTGTTTTTTCCCAGGAAAATTAATGAGCAACCACCGAGTGGAATAAAAATCACATATTGAGTGTTAGGCCTACGTTACTATGTGGTTGTATTTTGCCGAGTAAGAATAATTTGTGCGTAATTTATTATTGTTGCTAATTATATACTACAATTCGAGTATAATTTTCCCTTATATACAGTACTGGTACAGTACATTATCGTTTAAATGGTTGCTATAGTGACAGTTTCTTTTAGCCAAAAGGACCTCTATGCCATTTAGGGATAATTTGTTTTCATTTTTTTTTAAGACGTGCCACCCACACTATAGTTTCAATGTAGTGTACAGGCAGAATAAATCTTTCAATGTTTGACATCAGAAACGCTAATGTCATCTGGCTATCTGGGTCTGCTCAGGAGAATATTGTGTTTTAAACATTTACAGGTTTTCTTTTTTTAATGTTGGAAAAATCAAAAAGCCACTTTAAAAAGAATACTTGAAATACACATATTTTAACAAAACATAGTTTTATTTTCATCGCCCATGAATCAGCTACTCTGATGAATACAGGACTTGATTTTCAGGGAAATAGACATGTGAAGAATCACAACGTTCTCCAATAAATCAAGCCTACATGTACCAGCAGTGTCGGACTTTATTCATTTTTTTTTTCAATTATATTATTATCCGTGTTTTATGTCTAATTTCCTAGTTTTCCTGACAATATCCTGGTCATTCAGCCAGTTGGCCACCCCTTGACCTACCACACAATGAGCAGAGAATCGACAACATTGTCTAAAGCCCTCCCCCACTCAAACATGTTAGCTTTACAAATCGTATTGCTTTACCGCTCTGTGACAATGGCCTAATCTTTGGCGATGCTTAGCCGCCAGTTGCCATAGCAGTCGATGATGTCATAACGTCAGCAGTTTTATGTTTGAGCCAAGACACAAACGGCAGACTATAGTGCTACTGAGATCCACACTTTTTTTTCTTCCGAAGGAAACACGCACATCCTTAATCGTTCCAAACATATGGACTACGGATTTCGGTTGCCCTAAGTGATTTTAAATCATGTGGAGGGCGATCCAAATTAAAGTCATCAATTTTTTTCTTCGCTCTATCTTTTCTCCTCATCCCAAATGGAGTACCTCATGACACAGTTAACTCGTTAAATATGACATTTGTCCTAGTTCTGCTTCCTGCGGCTTATTTAAGCCTGCTGGATAACGTCTGGTCAACACATATGCAGTGGTATGGATTAATGCTTTTAATAAAGTCAACACATGGACACACACAGGCCCTACAGACATTCTTAGTTTGCCGAGACTACAGCCGAGTTTCAATAAAAGTTGCCTCAGTATCCTGATAACGTGCCACTGAAATGAGCCCGGTTCACGATTGTTTCGCCACTTCATGACAAAAATCATGAAACCAATAAATATAACTCCAATAAAAACAAGTGCTTCATAAATCATAACCAACAAAACTGTGGATCAAAAACAGTTGGAAATCTTTGTTTTGAGACAACTGTCTTAAATTATCGGCTTAAATTATGAATTATTGGCCGAGTGTCTAAAATTGGACACGTACATTTCATCCCAAACATTTTGGAGTTAAGAGTAAAGCCTGCCATCTAAGATATTTATATTTTTTTGTGAGAATAGGTATAAAAACCACTGTTCAACTCATGATTCAATAATAAACAATGCATATCCTTCAGATTTTAGTCTCTGAAGACAAAAGTGCATGCACTTGAACTCGGTACTCTCTGATAAAGTACACAGACAGAATTAAACTTGGCGTATCCAACCAGTATCACGTTTGCTCGGCTAGGTCATCCGTCAAAACTAGGCAAGGATCATGATATCTAATTAATCAGCGAGGCCGACTCACGGTGTCATCATACTTTTTGCTCTTTACGCTCATTTACACTAATTTATTTAACGGTATAGAAGACTTGAGAGCAGAGCCAACCTAATGAGACATTGGACAAGATGGGGTTTGACTTCAGCCTCATTTACAAAGCGTAGAATTTTTGTATTTTTTTTTATATGAGAAACTTTAATATAGCCACCTGCTTTCATTTCCTGACTAACTTAAACCAACAGAAGAATACAAGAAATATGAGAAAAGGTTGCTGGTGTTTATGGGCAGGTGATGCATTCATGAAGGTTCAATCTCTATTTTTATTTGAATCAAATGGCAATTGAAATCCACATTAACTTGAATCTTTTACACAACTTACCGGTGTTTTGCAGCCATTATTACTGCACATGGGTATTGAAACTCAACGTAGGTTTAAGCCCAAAGAATTCACTAAAAGATTATGCACAGTGATGCAAAGGGTAGTCATAACTTTCTTGAAAGTCACATCACATGTGTAGACAGAAGCCATTTACTGAGGTTGCACCACTTTCGCACATTGATGGTATGAGCACATGTTACGCCTCCGACAAATAGTTTTTTTTGGAATTACAGGTACTCCTCCAATAATGAATGCTCGCATCATCCGTGTGAGTGCAGAAACACCTCAGTAATGGCGGTTGTTGGATTACACAACTGTGCACCTACGGTATGGAAGCCACTGATTCCACTTTCCATAGTACGTGACTGCTGGCTTGAGCCAAGTAATTTGGACGCGTTCTAAGGATTTTTATTACTGAAAGTCACATGACATGTTTAGATCCATCCGAGTGCACCATCTATCACGAAGGCCCTCTTCAATGGTGAAAGCATTATGCAATCTGTGCTTCAGATTATCGGTCATGTTTTTTCCATTGAATGGGGTCTTGTGCGTGTACGGTGATCACGTGATCGGATTTGTCTATACCAAGAGAATTTGACTGACCTGTGATCTTATCCTTGACGAGTTTACAGGACTCAATCTCTCCAAACTTTCCAAAGAGCGATCGCATCTCTTCCTGGGAGGTATGTTGAGGCAGGTAGTTGACTATCAGATTGGTCTTGCTCTCCTCGTTGTTATTGTTGTTGTTGGCTTTGCCTGCCATGACGCCATTCTGCATCACCTGTTGGCTTGGTCCGTCCATCATGCTGCCTGGGACTCTGTGAAATAAAAGGATAGGGGTTGATTCAAATAATTACTCAAAAGCCAAATCAAGGTTTCACTTTCACAAACTGGCCTTATACATTCATTTTGGGGGATGCTAGTCCAATAGCCGACAAGCTTATAATCACATTGTTTTGCTTATTCTTAATTTTAAGCCACAATTCTTTACTCGCACGAGACTTTTCATCGTTCATGTGTCTGTCATATCTGTCACCACTGAGGGGGAACTTGTGTATGAGCGCACAGTGTGTTTATAGACGGGTTTATTGTAAATTTCATGGTTAGTAATACTCCACATTCTGTTGCACTATTCCCCTGAACTTCCTCCTTCTGTCTCAGAACCAGAAACCTGTGTGGAAACATCAACTTGAAAACTAAAGGAAGTCGTAATTGTAATAGATCTCCGGCTCTCAAACATGTCTGCCAACAACTGCCCCCCCCCCCTCGTTCTCAACCTAGACTCACCCAATGCCAAATTATATCAGTACGATCTAAATTTATGCAGAGGAGGGAAAATTTACCCAGAATGAATCAGCATGTACTAGATCAAGAAACTAAGCTCACTTTAATTCAATTCCTCTTTGCCTTATTTGCCGCCTCGCTCAATGAAATTTAGAATAATCTAATTGACAAGCAATTCCTTCGGTCGATATCAAAGAGTACTCTTGATAACATTGAATGTATGAGGTGCATTAGGGCACCAGGGAATAGCTCATATACTGAGATAAACCATCATTTAGGGAAGATTATTCCAATTTGTTAATGATAATATTATCACAGGAAACAAACCTGCAAAAATGAATTTAAAAAAACATCACTATTATTACATTCTAAAATAAAACTAATTAGACAAAATTGAATATTTTCTTACTACATTTTACCACCCTTTGTGGTATTTGCTTGATACCCAGGTTAAAAATAAAAAAATGTCATCATTTGAATTTTTTTTTTTTTTAATTGAAACTTAACGAAACATTTATACAGAAAGTAATCCACATCATTAATTAATCAAATATCAGTGTAAATTACAATTTATTTTTAATACCAAGTTTTAGACTTCAAGGCTAAAAAAATAATTGGACTTGACATTCTGACATGTATTGTTGACAACTTTATGTGCCTAATTTTTCCAAAGGGAGATCATGACTAGTTTATATTAATAGTTAATATTAATATCCTTAGGTAAAACCCAATATTGATTTACATCACCCCGACGCAAATTTCATCTTATGAATATCCTTAAGCTCAGGAAAACCTCATTTTGAGTCTCCTACAAAAAGATTACTTTTCTCAAAAGTTAAAAATAAACCAAAGGCATGTATGAAAATCCAATACTCTGAGAATCCTACAAATGCTTGATTTCAAAAACTGAATTTTAGGCCAAAAAAAATAAACATTCGGTCTCTGGTCAGACCAAAGTTCCGGAGTTGACGCGGCCACGCGCTTTTATTTTATTTTTTTTCTTCAAGCTTGGATTGTACAGACAAGGTGGGTACTATTTTGTTTTTTTTTGGTGTCCTCATGCACATTGGTGTCCTCCATAATTTGCCTTGGTGCTTTCGATCATTTGCCTTGGTGCAATTTCCCATTCCTTGTGCTCTTTGGTAAAAAAAATTGAGGAGGGGCGGAAATAGAGGGCGCTGTTGGAGCTACCGCGGAACATTTTGGAAAAAAAAAAGATCGACGCGCATGATTAAAATCGACGCGCGCGCTGACCAGAGACCGACTTATTTTTTTTTTTTGCCTTACATGTAATCCCTACCACCATTCACCCCTCCAAAAAGCTAGAAATTCCCCACGCTATTCCATCTGTGTATTCCAGTTACCACTTCCGAGGCTTATCACAATTAATCCTCCCATATGCGACAGTCAAGGACCCTCTACACCATAAATACTACCGTAGTACCCTCGACAATCTCAAAGCAACATCACGAGGCATAATCTGCCATATGCTGGCATTTTTGTTTCAATAATTTACCCACCCAACATGCAGACTTCAAGTGGCCTGTATTACATGGAATAATAGTTGTCTACTATCTTGAGTTTGACAGGGATTGATGGCTGATGGAGCAACAGAGCAATTGGCTATTGAATCCAAAACAATAAATGCTGCAAATGCTGCTTGATTTGTCTTTTTTCCCCTCCTGGGAGGGGGGGGGGGTAGGAGGGATGGGAGGCAGGAAAGAAAGAGGCATCACATCTCTTAATAAAAACCAGAACAGCAGAGCTAACAGAAAACTCCCACCATCATCGCAATCATTAACCAAGTTTGGCCGGGAAATTAAAAAGAATCAGTGAGCACAATGAATGATGATGCAGGCAGTATGTGATTGATTGTGAGGATCAAGCTTGCACTTAACTTTGGCTGCCCATAACATGAATAGCAGAGCAATAACAGATATACATAGAAACTCTAAACAACTGGCCATTTAATAAGCTGGTGAAAAGAGTGCCGGAGAACGACAGTAAAATGTCTACCTTTTACCATTTCCTGTAACGCTGGTGGATTATAAATAGCGTGTCTTTTCAGTAGCTATATTGAATTATTTAGATTGGCTTGGGCTGTCTGGTCAAGTTGACATTTGGCTGCAGCTGCCAGCAGTGAAATCCGGCAATGCAGAAACAAAGACTCGTTAATTGTTCATTTTAATCCTTCATTTTCCCTTAGGATGCCCTTTAATGGTAATACCGACTGGCTGATCTTTGCCTATCTGCAAATGAGGACTGCTATCATCTGATAGCTGGGTCTGATTTTGATTGAGCTTCTTATTATCGCACTCAGCTGATAAACAAGTCAAACACAATCTGTTTTCCTGCTTAATGCCCAGATATCGCATAGCTCACACAGATTTGTGACTACTGCGAAAGCAGCATCAAATTACCAATGGCTTGTACTTTTTTGTCTTGTATCAAATTCATTGGTAATGTAATTGTGTTTTTTTTAATCCACATGAAATTATGCAAACCTAGCTACATTTGGATCCCCAAAATAAATATGGCTGCTCCATTTGCAATGCAATTAAAAAAATTAATTTAAAATTATGAAAACCTGGAGGTCACATTATCATATGTGCATGCTGTACACACCTTTTATGACCGAATCATAAAAATGGTTCCATATGCAATTCATCATCATTATTTCAATTGATATGCAATTATTTCTGCTTGAATGAAAGGAATATAGATCATTAAAATTTGTGGATCTGAACAGGCCGATGGTGAATTTTGACGACTTGTTCATACCAGATGTTATGGTTGGGATTCAATCATGCAGCGATCAGTTCCGTAAAGCTCACCTCTGGACTGATAATCTATTTTCATTTCAATTTCCTAAAGACAACATGCGCTTGTCAGGGATGCAGTAGCGGCAGTACACTAATCATTCCTTGTTGAATCGCCTTTGTGATTCATGGAAGTGACTTAATTGTCCACCTATACCCCTAGGATTTCATGCAAGCAGGTCAGGTTATTGAACGGACATGTGCGACAGGAAACACAAAACGCATTCGTCTGCACGTCTCCTAAGCTGACAACTTCCTTTAGGATTGGGCAAAATATTCCGTGCACGCTAACCCGCCCGCTCCGATTACAGATAAACAGCTTGTAGGCTTGGGCAAAGTCTCAAATAACACTACTCTTCCCAAAATGTCAAGTGAGGGATCTAAACCACTTTCCTTTCATGAAAATACGAATTAACAAACACAAAGAGCTTTAAAAGTCTTGGTGAATAAATGGCATCTTCATGACATGTTTGTGATACGACCAGGTACAATCAAACAAAAACATTTAAGGGGTTAAGGACTATCATTATTGAAAACTGCTCAAACTATTTGAGGGAGGCAATGTCTGTCAGGGGCCAAATTAAAAAATTTTGAAAAATCAATCAATTTAATTAACGACTCTATAAAACAAATATTGAAACTGGCTTGCCTGAGCAGGGATTTTATAATTTGTTTACTAATGCTATTTAATCATAATAATCATGGCGCCACCAGTCTACAGGCAATTAAATCTCAAAGGGCAGTAAAGTTGGATGAGATGGATTTCTGATGTACTTTTACAAGGTTTTCTTTTCATTTTGGATTTTAAAGGTGGAAACGGATATATGTACACAAATGTATTAAGATTGGTGTACAAATTGCATCTGCAATCAAGATTAACTCTATTTCTCAGTGTGAACGAACATCCAAGAAGGAGAAAGTTATCATTATTATTCAATGTTTTAAGAAGTTGGCCATCATCAGTTAAGTCAGTTCGGTACAAAAATGAAGAACGGATGCTGAATTAAGCTAATAAAAAGTACATGTGTCATTTTTGCTTGAACAGTTTATTGCACTTTTGGTAATTTTGCAACAATTTGATGCATATGCGGCACATTTAATAGTTGAATTGGTATGTTTTAGAATAGGGATGCTAATATGTATAATCTATTGCAATCCGATAAGTAATTTTGCTGGAATTGTTTTTCTAATGTGCACGGTCAGGGACTACATCCACTGTACACCGAGGGTAGTTCCAACATGCAGTGCCCAATAACATGTACACAGACATGCATTAAATGAAGCATAGCCATATTTGACCCGCTTTGCCCGCCAGCTTTCTTAAAGATGACCTCTTCTTATAGTCTGACACGTCTCCTCAGACGCATGAACTCAGAGACTGTATGTTGGTCAAAGTAAATGTAAGAATTGTGTGCGCACGGCCGAGCTTTTGCCAAATCCAGTAAAATTGAGTGTTGATTAGTCTGGGAAATTGTAGAGCAGGTGACGCAGCATGTGTACATTTTACATCATTACAGAGCAAATCTACACTGTCTTAAATATATTTTTTTTTAGACAAGCTCTCAAACTGCATTTATTCAAACAAAGAAAGCATGTTTGCATTTAATCACATAAAAATATGTTACTCTTACTATGCAATCTGCATAGTGTGGCATTTGATAACACACATATTGTCACACTCAAAAGGTTATGTAAATTTAAAGTACAGGATAATT